TGCCAGGGACCCCGGAGAAGCAAGTGGCCACTCCTGTTTGTGGGTCAGTGGTTTAGCTGTTCTGTCCTTTACCCCAGATCTAAACAGAACCGCAATGCAGCCTGACACACTCCAATCTCGTTCAGTAGGACCACTGGCTTAGGCATACAAATTGCCCACGTCTCAGAATTCCACCCCAGGCAGAGGTATGTGGTGATTCCCAAGCAGTAACCCAAAGAAGGGCAGTTCCTGCAGCAGTAAGCTATACGCCAGCACTCGCAGGTCCTGAAGCCCAAGGCTCTATCCTCCCAGCATCCTGCCTCAGTACCAGGCTATTCCTCTCTAACCTGATGTGTGAGGTATTGATGCTTTTGAATGACTTCCCTTCCTGACATTAATCAGAGCCAATGCAAGCCCAGTTTTTCAGCATGTCTCTTAGTCACTTCCTGTATTCTTCTATCCTTCATTGCACAGGACAAAGAATAAAGGGTCCTACCTGGCCTCCAGAGGTTCTATGTAACCCTCCCTTCTCCTGGTTGCTTTAAGTAGTAACAAGAACAGTTATCACATACACTGAAGCCTCACAATAGTCTTAGACACCCGACACAATCATGAACCACCATCACCTCTAAATATGAGATGGGAGAAGCAAGTTGGCTGTAAAAAAAGTAGATCCGCCCACAGTTAGACTAGTAGAAAGCGGCACAGTCAGGATTTCAACCTAGATTCTTTGGGCCGAGCTTGCTATTAACCACTTTGCTAGAGGAGTATCTGTAACCAACTACTTCTTGGACATATTACATATATGGCCTTCCACATTCTCAAAACTCTAGGAAGTATGCTTTATCATTCCCATTTTAGAAAAGTTTCCCTCACTAGCAAATGGTGAAGGCAGAATTGGAATCCAGATCTGTCTTATATAAAAACTTTTGTTCTTTCCAGTATAACAAAATCTTTGGAAGGAGATAATCCCGAATACCTTGCTAATGGATTAGTTTGACTGTTCTATCTAAACTTTAGTAATAGTCTTTAGTAATCCAATTTTTTTTTTTTTTTGAGATAGGGTCTCTCTATATGGTTCAGGCTCAGATTCACAGCAATCCTCTCTGTCTCCCAAATCCTGTGATAAAAGGTGTGCACTATCATGACTGATTTAGTAATCCACTCTTAATGTCTGAATTATATTCTAAAAACAGAGGGGAAAGGGCTAAAAAATAATTAAGACACACCACGTACCAGCTTCCCATAATGAAGGTAATCATTACTGTAAAAGTTAACTGTTGTGTCAAGTTGAGTAAGAAACACACTCAATTGATGGGTTTAGCACAATTCTGGGTGTGGCTGAAGGGATTACTAAAGAAAGAAGGCTCATTCTGGGCGTGAGTGCCACCACCCAACAGGTTTGTTCTCTGAATGGAATAAAAAGGGGGAAGAAGAAAGGCTCACTTCTGGTTTTCTTCGGAGGAGCTCCATGTCCAGCCTTCACCCCGACATCCACCCCACGAACTCTTCAGCCTTTCACTGCAAATGCCTTGCCTTCCTGATACAGGCTTGTGTGGAACCCTACAGTGAGCCGCAGCCCTTCAGCCTCGGACTGGATCCTTAGGCTCTCCAGTGTGCAGACTCTGGAGGATACTGTGTATGCTCCCCTTTTGCATACTCACACCTGACCTGCAGGCAGTCATTGTAAGCCAACCTTGTCTATCTATCTATCTATCTATCTATCTATCTATCTATCTATCTTTGTATTACATGTTTCTCTAGTGAGCACAGACTGAGTCAGTACTACAAACATGTACAACCAAAATATAAAATAAACATGATAGTGATGTGATTTTAACTGAGTGCTGTATATATTCATTAATTCTACAGCAAACCCATAAGTTCTTCTCTACTGGGGGGTTAGATACCCTCATCATATATAACAGCATCAAACAAGTGCATTATTTTGAAGAGAAAAATGGTTACTTTTATCCCAAAGGAAATAAGAACATTTAAAGGCCTGTCAGTGCTAAAACATATTTCCTACCCTATTCTCAGTTTCTCTCAAACCCAAATGTCAAATTTTTTTTTTCATAAGGCCCAAAGATGAAAAATTTTTTCTACATATTTGAAACCTGAAAAGGGAGCCAATGTGTTTCAATCTAAGAAGTCATCAAATGGGATTTTTGGCTGAAAAAGGTCAAAAACCTTGAACACGGAAGCTATCATATTATTTGTGAAGAATCGCATTTTAAAATATTTTTATCACAATGTAGGATTGGAAGAAAGAGACAAGGAGGAAGTCAGCAAGGGAAACTGTAAGGTAATCTTCTCAAATCCTCTGTCATATAACTACAGGGATGTGAATCCCAACATTCTCTGGTGGCTGAGCAAACTCAGTCATTTTAATGAGCAAATCTGACTTCTGGAAGTTTTAATGAAGAGTAGGGGAACAGGATTGGAAAGCAGGTCAAGGATGGGGATTACTGTGACCATTAAATTTGAGAAGAGCAGCACAACAGACAGGAGAAGGGCAAGACAAATGGTGGCCAGGCACCCACACATAGGCACAAAGTTCCCAAATGGATTCACTGACTTCTTAGGTTCTGTGGGGAATCTGTAAAGTGTGGGGCCTGGGTGCTGCAGACTACTATGAAGAACACAGTGCAGGACTGAGGGGTTGTCATCTTCTGAGATAAAAAGAAAAGCATATTCAGAAACAATGCTCTCTAGCTCCATGCTCTCTTCTCTCTCCTGATTCTATTAAGAAATGGTGACCAAAATCTCAGGCAGCCCGCCTGCTGGCACACCCTGGAATATACTAGAAGAAGGTGTGTCCACCCACATCTGTCTCTGCACAAGGGTGATTGTGATTGTGACTGCAGCCTTCCCTGGCTGAGCTGCCACCCAGGGACGGATTGCCAGGGAGGACCCAGGAGTGTGCATCGAGAAGAAACATTTAATACAACTTTCTCACAGTTGCCCATTTCTCCTTCATTCCTCCTGATACTATGATGTGTTTCATGGGATAAAAAGTCAACACTGACACTAAGGGCTGTAGTGAAAAGGGAAACCACCTGAGCTCTCAGTATGCAATGGAAGACTACGGCATGGAGGCCCACTTGCAAAACTTTACTTCGACACTAACAATTCCTAAGTACACCAGTCATTTTTCTGTCTTCTACTGGTTTGCAAATGACTGAACAAATGCAGATAAAGGTTTTGTTTTAATTAGCATTTGATTATTTTATTTCCTCTTTTGAACCACTATTGGTCCCTTTTATATCTCTTGTACTCAAGTGTCAGGCCAGGCATGGTAGAACATATCTATGTCACCTCTAGGGGGATAAAGCCCAAATTCAAGCCCACTCTGGGCAATTTAGCAACTTAGTGAGACCAAGTAAAAAATAAATAAATAATAAAAGGACTGGGATGTAGCTCAGGGAGAAGGATTGGGTTCAATTCCCACTACCACAAACCATATAGAAAAAGAGTGTCAAGGACATTCCATTTAAACCAACATTTTGTAAGACAGTCTTAAATCACAGCTGTACCTTCAGTTTATGGGATGTCAGTGGTTGCTGATAGATAAATCTGCAGAGGAAGCACTTGGGAGGGTCTTATTTTCCCATAACTTAGTAGAAAAAATAAATAACAGGCAGATTGAATAGTGTAATTGGATCCCATTCAAATAAGTTATAAAGCCCCTGTTTACAAACTTTTTCATGCACTTTCTGATTCCTTAAGATAGACTTCAGAGCCCTCTGGCAGGAGCCGATCAATGGGCACATTTTCTTTTAAGCAAAGGAGCTGTCTCAACACTAAAAATGGGTACAAAACCCAAGTGCTTCCGCGATCCCTAACCCAAGCCAGTCACAGAACACGGAAAGGCAGCGGGTGGAAAGTATTTTGCAAAGCTCACGCCCCACCTCTTGGAACAATCGTCCTTCCATTCTTTCTGCCCAGCCTCTCCCACACAAAGCGGGTTCCCAAACACACCAAAACCCAGGGGTAGCCATGCCCCTAAGGTCCCACCTCACGGCTGCGGAAGGGAATAGCTTTCTGCTCTACAAAACAAAGGCTCCTTATCAAGACCTGTATGCTGAGCATAAGCTCAGTGCAAAGACTTTCCCAGTTCAGATTTGTGGAGATAGTTGAGTTTCGTGGGTGTGGTCCATTTAAATCACATCATTTAAAAACTCTTTTAAGGTCTGATTATCTTAGTGAAATAATCTAATCACCTAAAAGGAAGAATGACAGCTTTATGAAGTGAAAATTTACCCGTTAATATAGGCTCTCTAAAACATTAAAACTGCTGGCAGCAACAACCATAACTTTCAATTTCTTTTCCTTTTTAAGCAACTTCCGGAGAATGCGCCGTTTTAAATAAAATCACAACAGGGGAAGTCCATATATCTAGGTGGATTTCGAACAAAATGACACCTCTTTAAAAAAAAAAAAAAAAAAAAAAACAAGTAAAGTGCGGCGAGGTCGGAGGGAGTCTCACCATCACAAGGCGATCAGGAAGCCGCTCTAGACAATTAAGCAGGGTTTCAAAATGACTGGAACAGGATGTGCCCATAGAAAGAAATGTTGCGCGCAGCGGTGGAACTGCCAAAGTTGCTGCTGCAAAGTACCCTGAACTTTAAAAGGGTGGCTTGGGGTCACTGTGACCACCCTCCCCCAGTGTGGACGCCTTAAGAGCGCGATACCCTGGGAGCTATTTGGTGGGAGGGAGGATGTGACCACAGGGCAGGAGGAGTGGGGGGCAGGGTGGAATCCTCTGAAACCTGCAGGAGCTCCTGGGGCTCTGGGAATCTCATGCTTTTATCCGAAAAGGGGACAAGGAGGTGGCCCTGAACTCTCCGCCCTCTCACCCCGCCCTGAGACACCTCCGCCTGGCGAGGACCGCGGGAGCGCCCCCGGGCTGCCGATTGCTCTCTCCGGGCGGGCAGAGCGCGCAGTGGGGAGCCGGGGCGCAGGAGGCCGGGGTGCCCCAGGAGCGGGCGGGCGCCGTGGGCGCAGCCGGAGGCGCCTACCTGTGCGGCGGCGCGCTCAGAGCCCGGGGCGGCGCCGGGGCGCGCAGGTGCTCGGGGGCACCCTGGGGGCGTCCATCGCGCCCGCGGGCTCAGCTCTCCCAGCGGCCGGGCCGGAGCGGGCGGCGCGCTGACGTCTCCCGCCTCTTCTGGCGGCGGAGGACCCGGCTGGTCCCTCGGCGGTCGCAGCAACAGGCGCCGTGGCGCGGACGGCACGGCGGCGGCCGAGGAGGAGGTGTCTGCGCGCGGCTCGCGTTTCCTCCTCCCCGGCTGGGCGAGCGCGGGGGAGGCGAGGGGAGGGCAGGCGCGGGGAGCTCCCTGCCGGGTCCCGGGGGAGCGCGAGGGGGGCGCGGGGCCCCCTCCCCCACGGCGCCGTGTGACTTGCCCGGACCTGGGAGCCACAGGAGAGCAACAGCTGCTGCAGTGCGGGTCCGCCGCGGCCGCCCGCCCCTCCCCGCCCACCCGCCGGCGGGCCATCCTCCGCGCCCCTGCCCCGAGGGAGGGGTGGGTGGGGACGATGCCTGGGTCGCCCCCTCCCTTCCATCCCCGGCCGGGGACCTGGCCCCGCGGGCTCCGAGGGAACCCGGGCCTCGCGCGGGGTGGAGGCCCGAGCACAGGATGCGCGGTCGCACGCCCTGTCCTTGGCGCCCTATTTATAGCAGGTGGCGCTGCCCCCGCTGGTGCGGCTTGAGCGGCTCTCAGCAGGTGGCACTGCCCGCCGCAGGAGCCTCGCCTCATTTGCACCCTCGCCTTCTTCCCCTAAAAGGGACTTAGCTAAGACTGCGCAAAACACGGGGAGACGACTGAGCCACCTGCACCACTTCTTTTTCCTGTCCTGGGGCTGGGTGATGGGAGGGAGTGAACCTCAACACAAATGCACGCGAGGCTGGACAATCAGGGGCTTGGGGAAACGGCGAAGGATTAAGTGCTCTCTGGGGATCAGGCATCGGTAAACCCCGTTTATGACCAATTGCAGTAGTGACGCAGAGCCTGGATTGGGTGCTTTTTCCCTCCCAGCGCCCGGAGCCCGCGCCCGCGCGCTTGTGTGCACGCACGCGCACACACGCACCTTCCCCCTGGCGCGGCGTGTGTGTCTCAGCTCAGGTTTTAGGAAGCCCTCTAAGATGTTGTGGAGTTTAAAGACGGTCATGAAGGGACTGAGAAATCCAGCTCCCTGGGGATGGAGAATGGCTGTGTGCAGCAGGCAAACAGCCCCCCCAAGCCCCAGCCCACCAGGGAGAGAAGCGAGTTCAGCAGAGGAAACACCACCACCTCCAGGGACCGGTGAGCAGGGAGGGGAGGAGAAGACTGTGGGAGGTGGCGGTTCAGAGAACCCCAGGTGGCATCTTTCTGCGGGTTTTATTTAGAGTAGCTGGAGGTAGACTTTAGGGAAGTGGCTGAGTTTGAGTAGGTCTCTAAGTAGAGCTGTGTCGCCAGCAAGGACCCAAGCTTTTAGTAATAATGGCAATTAAAAGCACACATATACAGAACAAAAGTTGGAAAGTTTGTTGGGACGTTAGAGGGAAGACAGGAAAGATCTTCTGTTTAGGTAGCTAGAGGGCCAAAAGCTGATGGTGGAGGGGCGAGTTCAGCTAAGTCTCCCCACGAAGACCAGCTTTCCAGGACTAGCAGATGCGCTGGGATGGGACTGACCCTTATCTGGGTCCTGGTGTCATAGTTGTGGTTCTTTAAAGCAAAGAGAATGGTGATGGCAGGTTAGGACAAAGGCTGGGTGGAGAATTTTCGGGCATGTACTCCTGGAAATAGCCCTTCTGGGGCGTTCAATATTGAAGAGGGTGACATTATGTAAATTCGGGGCTCATCAACCTCGTTTTGCCTACTATCAGACAGACACTCACTGGTGATTACATATCAAGATATGTAGACCTAAGAACGATTGACCCAAGTTCCACATCAACAAAGGACATTCCCTAAATGCTTGACATATCTGTAGGTAGAGCTGAGAAGAGATTTGACAGCAAGGAAGGATACAAAATGAAAGTTAAACTTTGTTCTGCCTGTAGATACCTATTGGGCATTTGTGGGCCTGAGTATCATAATTCTTAGCAAAATGACCCAGGACAACTTGAACCATGCTTTTAATAAGCAACAGGTAGGGGTCCAGGAGTTTGCCGTTGCCCAGTCTCTATGTTGATCCCTGAGTATGCTGTTTCTAAGACTTAGGCATTAGCACACTTAGCAATGTTGTATTCTATTGAACAAAGTGGTTCTTGTGTATATAGCTATTGAAGTCTTCTTTGCTCTTCAAGTAGGACCACTCACCCCAGCTGCCTGTCTCCAGCCTGCTAGTGACTTTCTGCCTAACATTACGGCTGTATCAGTTGCACTGTGACACATGGTTATAGTTTAGATTCAGGTGTCGCCCCAGAGCCAGGTTTTGGAGGGTGATTGGATTTGCAGATGAACAGCGGAATTGTTCTTAGGAGGTGGGATGTGGGAAGAAGAGGTAGGTCACTGAGGCATGGCCTGGAGGGCTGTACCTTCCTCCCCAAATCCTTCTTTGTTTTGTGCTTCGTGGGCACCAGGATATGAGCAACTTTTCTTCTCCCATCCCCTCTGCCATGCTGTTTTTCTTTGGAACTGGCCACCCACGGACTGAAACTTGAGCCAAAATAAAATTGTCTTCTTTCAAAAGTTGCAGATGTTGGGTTTTTTATTTGTTTGTTTGTTTTTTGTGTGTGTGTCCCAAGAGAAAAGTGATTAAGACACGCACTCTTCTGGTCACTGTGTCTATGCCTGGTGGTGCTTAGCTTATTCTTTGTTAGAACACAATTATTTGTGTACTTAGTCTAAATCTTTTTAAAATAGGCGAGGAATGTTTAATATGCAATTATGAAGGCTCTAATGATGAGAATGGGCTTGTTATGCTTTGTTTTTGATATTTTGAGACAGCATCTTATTAGGTGGCCCAGGCTGGCCTCGAATTTGCAGCAATCCTCTTGCCTCAGTCTCCCAACTGCTGGCATTACAGGCATGCGCCTCCACACCCAACATGACCAGCATGTTGATTGGGTTATAGAAACTAGGTCACAAGACTTGGTAAAAACAGTTAAACCAAATTGTCTCTTAGATCATATTATAATTTATTTCATGTTTTTCCTTCAGCTGCTTCAACTGCAGAGTGGTACAGTTCTCTTTCTTTTCTTGTGGTGACCTGGAAATATAACTACATCCAGCATGCTCAGATGTCAAGACAGGTACACTGTCATCCATTTCAGGGACACCACAAGTACCTTTCACACATAATCTGCCAGATGATAATTGACATCACTGCTTGGTACACCTGCTTGCTAGCCCCTGCCCTGGAGAGGGGTCAGACCACGGGGGACAGCTGATTTGCTAACCAGAGCCTGCTGTCATCCTGACATTCCTCCTTTCTTCTTCCTTCTACTTCAGAGAGCAGGCAGGCTGGGGTCTGGGGAGGCAGTGGGGTGGGTGACTAAGCTGGCCACAGGAGTAGGATGTAGAACAGTAGGATGGGACAGAGTCAGCCTGGGCCCTGTTCTTCTTGTACTGGGTGAGTGGGGGGAGGACATTTCTTGCCCTCATTACACTACTGAAATCTAGCAAGTTCCAATTCAGAGATTTACAGCTTGGTGAGAAATGGTGGACTGGCCTGGCCCTCACCTGGCTTAGGAAAGGCTAAGGCCTTGTGAGAAGCAGCAGTTTCTTTACCACCTCTCCAGTTCTCCAGTTCCCAGGGATAGTAAATGCCGGAGGAATGATAGCAAGAGATTCTACAGTACTTTCAGTCTCTGGGAAACAGAAATTCCTCTAGGATTCTGAACTTTTTTTGCTGTGCAGTGTTACCCTAGAAAGTAGGAGACGGCCTGCGTCTTTGCCCTTGGCTTTTGCTTTTTTTTTTTTTTTTTTTTTTGTCTTTTTCCTTTTTATTGGTACCGGGGATTGAACTCACGACTGACTGCCTGCTTGCAAGGCAGGCGCTTATGCCGCTGAGCTAAATCCCCAGCCAGAGAAATTTTTTTTTGGCTTTTTTTTTTCCCCCTTGGCTTTTGAGCAGTTCTTTCCAGCATTTCTTCACCAGAAATTGTGAGGAGACCTTGAAACTGAAGGCAATGGCAGGTGAAACTGTCAGCCAGGGAGGGGAGACACTTGATGTCCCAGTGAAGATAGGGAGTTCTGAGATAACCACGGATCCTACCTGCTCATGCCATTGGCCTACGAGGGAAGTGGCTCCTGCCTTGTGGTGTGAAGACATGTGATTTCCAGCAGAGCTCTTACGCCCCCTGGGAAAGGCATGGGGGCCACAGGGTCTCTGTAATTGGCCACAAAGAGCTCTTCCTGGACCTCAGAATGATTTGATTGGTCAATGTTTATGTCAAACTAGATGGAGAAAAGAGCCCAATGCTCTGTGATTCTGCTTCCCCTGACTTTACACAATGTTCGTCACTGCGACTACACCTCCAGCGTGTCCCAAAAGCCAGCCCGGCACCATTCTCTTAGGACTTGCCCTATGGTGTGCTTTCTAATCCAGTCATCTGCAGCATCATTGTTTACATGTTGACCAGAGCCAGCAACTTTAATCTCAGCTTTAAGATGGCTGCAGAGCTCTAGAAAATTGTGAACAATTGATGTCATTAAATCCCGCGGGAACCACAGAGGTTGAAAGAAAAGAGGCCACTTGGTTTTTAAAGTGGTAAAGGAACCCTTTAGAAATCTAAAATTAAGTCTTTGGAAAAGAGACTGTAGTAAAATTTCTCATTAAGTGTTCATGAGTGAGCAGTCCAGACTCAAATTATTGCCACAATATGTTTTTACTTAATTGCAAAATATTCATTATAAAGAGGATGCTATTATTGTATCTTGAGACACAATCTCACTAAGTTGCCAAGGCTGACCTTGAACTTGTGGTTCTCCTGCCTCTACCTCTCAAGTACCTTGGATCAAAGGTTTGCACCATGGTGCCCAGCAACTGGTGAGCCCATTTCTACAATTGGTATCATTAAGTACAAAGATTCAAATTACACTGGATGGAACCCAAGGGTAATGAAGAGGTTTACTTGGTGCACTTGCTATTTTGATTAGTGGGGACTTTCAGGAGCCTGAAGTGGAAAGTTTCATGAAGTAATTCCATGCTCAGTGGAAATGGGTTCAAGACCGA